AAAAATGTTTAAATGTGTTACTGTCATTGTTATATATAGTAGAAATACTGAAAATGACTTCTAAAATTAGTTTACAAAATTATTAAATATTATAAAACTCTATCACCCCCGTGCTTCCTGCAAACCCCCCATGCCACAGGAGTGTTGGAGTAATTGAGCAAGAACCCTCAGGGTAGAGTCACGGCAAGGATGAAACTGACAGACACTGGTGCTAGGAGGAGTTTCTGCTCTACCATGTTGGGACCACACAGAATGGATGTTACCTCTACGGTGTTACCTCTGCTAACATCCACAAACCTCACCTCTTTTTCCATGGCTTGGACAAACCATACCTTTCTTGGATGTCAGTACTTTCAAAAAGTTATAGGTAAAATTGTTAGTATGGCTGAAGGCATCAAAGTAACATGCTCCAATTCCTAAAAGAACTGGATGCCAAGAAAGAGAAGAGCCATCCAAAAAACAAACTGCAGAAGGAAAAAACAATTAGCTACAGTGTCTCCATTCAAAATAGACTGAAAGAAATCAGTCTATTTCCAATCAAAGCAGCAACATTTCCTCCTGTGTCTGAGGGTTTATTTTTTCATAGCTTCCTCACCTAATTTACTGGCCTGTAAATGTCTACTGTTGCACCTCTTTGAAACTGACTTCTGTGATTTCAAGTTAGAGTATGTCTTCAGGATCCATTCTATGTGGTCCTAAAAGCTGGGTCAATTATAAGGCTTATCTGATTTTTTTAAGGCTTATCTGATTTAACTAGTATCCATCAAAAAATGATGATCTTGGGACTGGGGATATAGCTGAGCAGCACAAGTACCTGCCTGGTAAGCACAAGGTCCTGAGTTCAATTCCAGGTAACCCCCTAAAATAGAAACAATAATAAGATGACCGTATTTCACTAGCTTTAGAGGACTAACTTCTCATCACATTTTCAGGCAAATCAGGTATGGGTGCATGACATTCCACAGTGACTCAAGGAATCAGGCTGGTGTTGCCACCATCATCTTAAAGCTGTTGCGTCCAGGCCAGGCAAGAAATCTGTAATCCCTGTATTCTAAGAGGCTGAAGTAGGAGGATCATAAAGATCATAAGACAGAGCCCAGCTTGGGAAATTTAGCAAAACCCTCTGCCAAAATAAAGAGTTAAAAAAGTGCTGCGATATAGCTCAGTCTGAAGGCACTGGATCCAATCTCCCATATCACCAAAATTAACTAACTAAATAAAAAGTTGTAGCATTTTGGGCCATGGTCCAGATTGAACACACAGAAATGCTTTGCTTCCAAGTGATTCATTGCTCATAATTAGTTTTCTGGTCCTGCCTAACCACAGGCCTTTGATCCTCCTGGAGCACTGAAATCATTCCATTTGCCTCTTTTTATTTAGCCTTTGCCATCACTTGTTCAGGAGATTGTGGACCTGATCAGCCGCAGTAACTAAGGGACATTTTTAACCCAATAACCCTAGGAAAGACTCTTCCACTTTACAACAGATTTCCATTTCACTTAACCAATTGCTTGCCCAAATGGTTATCTAGCATAAAATTTGGTCCCTATCTGAGACCATACAAAATATCCATAGATATATATTCACAAAGTAATTTTTGGAGAAAAAGTTTACGACTTTGTTATTAGAAAAAATTTGTTTTTGGTACTAGGAATCAAACTTAGGACCTTGCACTTGCCAGGCAGATGCTGTGCCCCAGCCCTAGAAAAATATCCTTGCATCAAAAATTTTAAAACATAAATCTTAAAGAAAAAATATACTACAATAATAAAGAAAGTCATGAAGTGAAAAAATGTTTGCAGTACACATTTCTACTAAACCGTTAGTAGTACAGAATGTATGAGGTACTATTTATTTCTGGGCCAAAGCTAGATACCTAAAACAAAACCGAAAACCCAACTAAAAGAATTCAACTAGCATGTGACAAAAGAGGAGACATTCAACAAATAAATAGGGGCTGGGGATTTAGCTCAGCGGCAAAGCGCCTGCCTGGCAAGCGCAAGGTCGTGAGTTCGGTTCCCGGTACCGGAGAAAAACAAAAAAAAAAAAAACCAAAAAAAAAACAAATAAATATATACACACAGCTGAGGGTGTTGGCCAGTGGTAGACGACTTGGTAAGTATACATGAGGCCCTGGGTTGGATATCCCATTTCATAAAAACAAAACAAAACTATATATGAATGTCTGTAAAAATAGCGCTAACTAGCTGGGCGTGTAGGTGCATGTCTGTAATTACAACACTTGGGAGGCTGAGCTGGGAGGATCTCCGGCAAGTTTGAGTTCAGGCTAGGCTAGATGATGAGTTCAAGGTTGATCTGAACTACATGGCAAACCCTATGAACCATCAATCCCTCTCCTCAGTAGAACACAAATGCACAGAAAGTCTGTAAGAATGCTCTAGCAGGACCAGCTGGATCACAAAACTAGTAATTACCACTCTAGAGAAATGGATGGAATGTCAATACAGAGTAGGCATGCAAAAGTTTTCTGGGGCATCTGTAATGTTTCATTTATTGATGTAGGTAGTAACTACACAGTGTGTTCCTTTTGTGATAATTCACTGACCTACATAATTTGGTATTTGTCCTGGTTTCATCTTGCTCAATACAGTACAATAATAAATTTATGTATTAAATAAATGGTGGAAAGAGGCAGAAAGGATCATAAAGGAGTATTAGGAAACACAGAAATATGTTAATTGTAATTTTAGTTTCACGGAAGTGTGCATACATCTTAACTATATGCAGATTATGAAGTCTATTACACTGCAATAGAACTGTGAGGAAAAAAATAGGATGCATATAAACCTGTAGTTATAAAGAAAATATAGTCTTAAGTAGGTAAAATAAGAGACCAACAATCCATTAGCTACTCATTACTCTCACTAGTTTAGAAAAGACAGATTTTATAAAATACAGAATCTTTAGAAAAAGAGTAAAATTTAACTATACTGAAAATGAACATACTACAGAGAGCAATAATGCCAAATATTGACTCGTTTTTGAAAGTGTAATGACACTGGCAGAGTGCGGGTAAACTTGATAATGAAGAAATATATTAATTATGTACTATATCATTGTAACATATATAGATATACATACACTCATGTCTCAACCACAGGGTACACTCTAGCAAAGGCATCATTAGGTGATTCCTTCACTGTACAAATATCAGAGTGTACTTATACAAACCTGGATGTCACAGTCTACTACACACCTAGGCTATATGTTATAGCCACTGCCTTATAGGAATCTATCACTGACCAAAAAATGTCATTATGCAGCACAGGACTATCTGTTATCAGTCAGCAAAAAGATGAATAAATGGACCACGTGAACCAAACATGACACTTAGGAAGACCCTCACTTTTTTGACATTTAAAATTGACAGATATTGCACTGCAGAGGAGTAGGAAAAAAAAAAACCCTTTTGAATGAAAGTTGCAGGAAAAATATGGTATCTATGTGTCACAAAAAATGCTACTGGACCATTTTCTCATATTCCCTAATATATCACTTTCAGAGGTAAGAAATACCTAAACAGAAAATCAAAATTATAATAGTTGTTTTAGGAAGGACCTTACTTCTTTTGAAATTTACACCAAACAATATTAAATGATAAAATATAAAGTTAGATCACATTAAAATAAAAATTCTATTCATCGAAAGAAATCATACAAAGTGCAGGGACATGACAGACTGGGAGAAAATTTTGCCTCACGTGTTACTAAACACTGTAAGAATGGAACATAAAGAGACTCCAGAAGAAAAGCAGGCAAGACCAAAACCTAAAAATGTCTCAAATTCTTCTAGATCATTTAAAATACAGATGTAGATATAGATAAAGAGATAATGAAATTAGCCAAGAAACTTCTCAATGAAGTAATGAGGTAGAGGCTGGGTGTGATGGCACAGGCATGCAATCCCAGCACTCTCAGGAGGCTGAGGAAGGAGAATCGCTGAGTTCGAGGCCTGCCTGGGCCACAATATGAGTTCAAGGCCAGCCTGAACTGCATAGCCAGAATCTGTCTCAAAGACAAAAAAAAAAAAAAAAAAAAAGTAATAGGGGTAGCTATCATCACCTGACACTAAGGTATATTATAAAAGTATGTACACTAATATAATAATACCAAGGAATAACAATGTAAAGGAAATCTACAAATAAATCCATATGAATGTAAGAATTGTATTGTTCAGAGCAACAGAAAGGATGAGAATACAAATCCAACCATGTCTAGAATACCTTTATAAACACAAAATGCAGAGGTTGGGGTTGCGGGCATAGCTCAGTGGTACACTGTGTGCCCGAGAAGTTTAAGGCCCTAGGTTCAATCCTCAGGGCCAAAATAATGATAAAAAATATGTGCGGGGAGCTGAACTTTAAGGAATTTGTTGCCAGACGTAGGAAAAGCCCAGGTTGGTGGGGACAGGGCTCTGGCTTTGAAATCCTGCTTTCCCATAAAGTTATAAAGTTCAGAGGAGCTGGGAGTGCCGGAGCAAGGCTGTAATCCCAGCACCAGGGAGGCTGAGGCAGGAGGATCCCTGCGAGTTCGAGGCCAGCCCGGGCTACACAGTGAGCTCAAGGCCAGCCTGGACTATACGGTACTGTCGCAAGACCCCGTCTCAGAGGAAAATGAGCGAGCCCTGAGTGGGAAGGGCTTGGGGACCCTATGAACTACAGCTCCTCCAACACAATAACCCGCAAAAGGGGATGGGACTATCCCGTGAGGATCCTCCAGGTGGTCATCCCAAAATCAGGAGTAGCGTGGGACGGAAGTGTATCTCTGCCCAGAAAACACTCCAGCAGGGGCGGAAGTCACTCCGGATTCAGGACAGGCCCTCAGAGCGCCAGCTGAGACCCAGCCTCCACCCCCAGCTGGAAGGGAAGAGGGCGCCCCGGGCGGACTGGGGCCTGCAGACGCCACCGCTCGCCACGGCCGGGGTCTACGGGCCCCACGCCGCCTCCCTCCGCAGTCTCCGCCGCCCGGACACACACTCACCATTTCGGGTTTCAGGGGCCCGGCGATCTCCTTGTGTACGTCCCACGCCTAAAGATTACAGGGAGCCGGAGACGGGGCCGAGTCACGTGAGCCTACACAGCCAAAGAGAGGACGCGAAGTACGTTGCCAAGATGGCGGGCGCCGGACACACGGGCCCAAGAAACTGCGAAAGCCCGCCCCATCCGCTCTGGCTGTGCTTCTGATTGGGCCTTTCTCAACCTACCATCGGACGAGCCTTCAGCCCCGCCCACCCCCGCCAGCCTGAGTGGCACTAAATGTCACCAATTCTGAGCTGGGTAAGGCCACAGAGGGATGGTCTTTTGATGTAGGTAGAACTCTGAGGCTGAGGAGACCACGCCCCTCCGCCCACTAGTGCTCGAGGGTACCTCAGGGCCGTTCCTGTGTAATAATTTCAGACCAAAGCACGTGTAGCCCTTTTTTTCTTTTTTTCACCTTTTTGGCCCTTCTTCCTGCCTCTCATTCCAGCACCATTTTTCTGCTCATGGTGTTCCCTAAATATGGGTGCTTTTCTTTCATCACGGGATGTATGCTTTACAGTTCTTTGCTTGCTGGACACAAGAGCTTGGAATCTGTAAGAGCCACTACACAGTTACACGCAGTTTATATATTTTTGCTTCCTCGCTGTGTTAGGGATTGCACCCAAAAACAGTGGCTAAATCTATTTTCATATCGTTGTAAAATATGGCATGTAGGTATTTGGGGGTAGTACATCTTTAAAACTCACTCCCTATTAAAAGCCTACAGCACGTCTCACTTCAGGACAGCCACATTCCAACTTGGAAAGTTATGGCTCCGCTAATCTCAGCCAGGAAAAGTCCTCTTTTATGCTGGAGGTGATGGAACACATTGCTACCAATATCTTACCTTAGGCACAAGAAATGTTAATCAATATTTTATATTTTTATTTTGCTCTACAAAACACCCTGCATACACATTCAATTTGGATTCCATCTATTTAATGGAAGAAATTGTTGTAAAATGTTTGTCTAACAAAAGAAAACTATAGACTGTGGGGTATATTAACAATTCTCCAAACTTAACATTAAAAGAAAAAGAAAAAAAATTGGCAAAAACATTGAACATTGCACCAAAAAGTGTACACAGATGACAAGCATAAGAAAAATATATTGAACATCATTATTAGAGAAATGTAAATTAAAACCACAATGATACATGGGTGTTGACTTATCAGCATGACCAAAATAAAAAGGAAGGGGCTAGAGATGATCCTATAATCATGATCCTATGATCCGATGATCTTCCTGCCTCAACCTCCCGAGTGCTGGGATTACAGGCATGCACCACCATGCCCAGCTCATATGCTTTTATGTATTATATGATCCACAACTGCATTCAAACTTACAATTTAATAAAATAAAACTTTAATTCAAAAGGAGAAAACACAGTTAAGAATACCTAGTCCTCCAATCCTTAATCACTGATAAAATTTGAAAAATGTGTAGACATTTAGACATATTGAGAATTGTCAGAAAACACCATGAGATATACATCAAATTGATTTATGTATCATTTTAATGTCTTTAAATTATGATTTCCTAAGAATAGAAAATGTTGAGAACTCTTTCAAGTTTAAATTGTTTAGAAATACAATTTACAGAATTTAAATACAGAAATGTATTCCATATATTAGGTGAAAAGAATCTAATTAAAGACATATATAAAATAATTGAAGAGGAATATTAAGTATTTGTTATAAAGAAAACAAAGGTCAACACCTTAAGACTATTGCTATAATGTGATATCTTTTATCAGGATCATTAACACGAATCTATCTGTATAACAGCTAAGTATTCTGTATGCAATAGTCAACTAACTGCAATATAAATAATTCCTGGAAAGATTCAGATAGGGGCTTGGGATTTAGCTCAGTGGCACAGCACCTGCCTGACAAGCGCAAGGTCATGAGTTCGATTCCCGGTACTGGAAAAACCTCCCCACACACAAAAAAGAAAGATTCAGATATATATACTCACATATGTATATTTGAGAAACTAAAACCCATAAACATATATATAGACTAAAAATATATATTAAAGAATATATAAATTTTGGTATTCCAAACATATATCTATACGATATATAAGATAATTTTATTTGTTAGAAAATGATAAGACTTGCAATTTCAATTTTACATATATGTTTGATTAATTAAAATAACTATGATAATAAAGTTGATTTCTATAAAGTAGGCAAATGTAAAACTTCTTATATGTTTAATTTATTAAACATAAATGTTATTGGATCACACATGTATGTTTTGTTTCTAACTTCTCCTTAGTTGATATAAAGTAATGAAAAAGTAACTAATATGCTAAAATTGTAAATGTAAATTTAAAATTATAAATACTGTTCAAATTATTCTTGAAAGTTTGTAAATAAACTATATCTTATTTAAAGTACTCATAAATTATTAATGCTTTCCTAATGCACATGTAATGACAAAACTAGTGTGCTGCATTCAAAAGCACAATGAATACAAAATTTATTGTATTTTTTTTGGTACTGAGAATCAAACTCAGGACCTTGTACTTACCAGGCAAGCGCTGGTGCCTCTTAGCTATACCCCTGGCCCAATTTATTGTAATTTTAATTAATTCAGTTTTATTAATCTTTAATATTTTTGTACATGTCTGTATAATTCTCTCAATACACACACACACACACACACACACACACACACACACACACCATGTAAATAAGAGTCAGGGAGGAGCTGGGCACGGTGGTGCATGCCTGTAATCCCAGCACTCCAGAGCCTGATACACGGGCTACAAAAGTGAGCTCAAGGCCAGCCTGAGCTATATAGCGAGACCCTGTCTCAAAAAGACCAAATTAAAAAAAAAAAAGAGGGAAATTTCAACTCTGCCATGTCGTGGCAAATGAAATGTCAGAGAAAGCTCTGTAAAGTAAGATAAAGTTTTTTGGTTGTTGTTTTGTTTTGTTTTGTTTTGTTTGTCTTTTTGAGACAAGGTCTCACTATGCAGTTCAGGTTGGTCTTGAACTCACTTTTTTTTTTTTTTTTGTCTTTTTTCACAACGGTCCTCCTGCCTCAGCCTCCTGAGCA